GCCATGACCACTTTTTCCACCACTGTGGTTTTCCTAAAGCACAACCTGACCCTTCCCTGACACAGCTGCATGTTGCTCCCTCAGGCTCTACAGCAAAACTTTCAACATCTTTGGTGTGATTAGGGCTGCTGCAGCTGAAATCATCTGACCTGGTATTAACTGAAAGGAGCTTGAAACATCCATTGGGAAGCTGACAGGCAGCTCCCCCAGAGAACACATGCATGTGTGCAGTCAACCCTACTTTCTCCACTGCCATCCTCTGCCACACTGGCCTGCTGGTTCAGATCACAGGGATCATTGCCTGAATCTACAGCAGGGAGATACTCCTGCATGCAACATTCCCTCTGTGTTTTCCAGCAGTTGTGGACCTCATCTGCTTACTCCCAGGACCTACAAATAATTTTCTTCTAAATGTCTTCTGCTGAACAAGCTGTAGGATCCAGAACAGGAAGCCTACTGGGATTCATTCAGAGCACAGCTGGAATGCAGGGGCACCTCCTCTCTCTTAAGCAGATCTAGAACAGACAGCAGAAATGAGGGTTGAATTAAGAATAATTATACTCTTTTTGTTTTTCCTAGTTCCTGTTTTTGTTTCTTTTTTCAAAGCAATTATAAGCAAAATGAGGCTAGAGGAGGGGGTGGAAGGATGAGAAACACTTTTTAGAGCCTACCAGAAGAGAATCTGAGCAACACTCCAGGTCTCAGCCTAGAACACTGCAGCCCATTTTGGTAATCTCTTACCTGAAGCTGAATGAAAGGACAGGTCCTTCAGTTCATAGGATAGGAAGTGGCTGAGAGACCTCTGCATTTGTGACAATTCAGCTGAAGGATCCTTACAGAAAGGTTTTGACATTTCTTTCAAACAAATAGAATCCTATCTATTGTAAAACAACCGTGAGTTGCAAGCTCTAACCTGGGATGTGCTCAACTACTCTCTTTCAGCAAGGAGAACGTGTCCCTACTGAGCTGCTGCTCCAGAAGTTTGTGGCAGGTGACAGCCGTGCTCCAAGCTGTTCAACACCTGTCCCAGGACACCTCCCTCCTTGGGCCATGCAAGGAAATGTGGCTATGGTCTGCACAGAAGTGATATAACAGAACTCTCATCTTCTTCTTGCAAAAATCAGGTCACTGACCCGATCAAGGATTTTACAGTCTCTTCAAGAGAGGGATAATTTGCCCTCAAAATTGGTCAATATCTCCTTATGAAAGGCTGCTTCCTGTACATCTATAAAACAAGGACTGCCACTGCATATTGGACATATGACAAAGAACCTCGCAGGCTGAGTCCGCTAATGGCTTTAAATGAGGTATGAGACCCGAGTTTGATATCTGAGAACAGACAGCCAAAGCTAATTCCACACCCACTGATCTCAGTGCTCAAAACCCAAAATGTCCGGGCTTTGCACATTTCAGCAAGCATTTCAAATTTAATAGGCAGCACGTGACATTTCATTGAGATTTTGATGCTACTGCAGTTTTCATCTGTTAGGAGGTTTATGAGATACTTCAAAATAGAAGCACAAACATACATTTAGAAATTCAGCAGACCTAATCCAAGCCATGAATATGGGTTTGCTTCTTCCTCCCCCCCTCCCCCACCAAACAAAGTAGAATCACAGAATTGATGTCTCTGATGCACTAGAACTACAACAAAAAGAGCTGACAACGAGGAACCTTATTTGTAACATAGGGTAGTGCAAATAGTTTCTAGTCTCTGATTTGTTTTGCCCCTTATTTTGCTGTTGCTTCTTTTTCCCCCCAAAATACTAGGTAGGGTTACAGTATTTTGAAAGGTATAATAATCCAAACATTTATTTACAGAGCACTGATGATGATAGCAATACACTGAAGGGATATGACAAATGTATTACATTACTCTGTACAAAGCCCTGGAGATGTTCCTATATGTGTGGAGACTTGTTATCATTTTCATCATTGAAAATGCCGTAGAAGTCTCGGGTACGTTCAGATAGGTTTCTCCTTGCAAATCTGCAGGAAAACAGACTGGCAAAGCAACCGGCAGAAGAAAAAGAAACGGGAGACAGCAGTCTCGGAAGGAAGCAGTACAAAGTGCTTTCTAGGCTCCTTGTTACAAAGGACAAAAGAAAGAATTCAAACCCAAAGATGTCAGGCATCAGCAACAACAAACACAGGCAGCATCTAGGGTATTAAAATTTGTCCACTACTCATTTATCCACTACTCCTCAACAACATTTCTCTCTGTCCCTGGGGTTCACTGGAGCTGCTTCATGCTTGTTGTGCTTGGATGGCTGCCGAGAGACACTCAGCGTTGTTGCAATGCTTTGTTTATCACAAAGCTACGCTCCTTGCTGGTAACATTTTACAACTCTTATCACGCTGTTCAATCCAGCTACAACTGTCCAAACCTTGTCTTCTCTAAACCAGATGAGGTCAGAAAGGGAAAGAAAGCACAGCACATGTAGCCACTGCAGTTAGCCAGTTTAGCAAACACAATCATTAAGCAGGGATTCTGTTGTATCAGCCTGTAGGTTTAGCAAATCCCTCAGCATTTCAAAACAGCAGGAGAAACGCTACTAGAATTCAATTTATTTTTCCAGAGTTCCCTAAATCATCGTGACTCCGCATCCTTAGGATGGCTTCTGCCATGAACTGGGACTGCGTGCTTTTACTTTTTTTCATAATTATTTCCTTCTATGAGTTAAGAATTGTCAGCCAGGTACAATTGCAATTAAAAATAAGAGCTACAAAAATATAGGTTTCTACATTCAAACACCTGAAAACAGCTGCCCTGGGGGACTACGGAGCCTCTGCTACCCAATATGCTTTCGAATAGCAATATCGTCTTCCCCAAAGCACAGCTGATTAACTTCACTAAAAGAATTATGCAGATTAGCAAAGTTTAAAAAAAATAACACCTAAAGGTAAAGTCCAACTGTCTTCAAGAAAGCATTCAGTGTATGGCCAGATCCCTTCACCTTCTGTACATTTAATGCTTTAGCTCTTGCTCAGTATATTAACCTGAATCATGTTCCAAATTTTTCAGTAAATTTCTTAAGCAAATATTTGAGAAACATCTGTGACTGTTATTCCAAATAATTTAAGCAAGAAATTATTCATTTGCATTTCAGTCAGCAAACTGGCCATGCCTGGAGACTGATCTTCCTTTCATTCTTGCAGTGGCACACGATGGGCTGCTTTGAAAGTACCATAGGATCATTGAATCATAGAATGACCTGGGTTGAAAAGGACCACAAAGATCATCTAGTTTCAACCCCCCTGCTATGTGCACGGTCACCAAACAGCAGACCAGGCTGCCCAGAGCCACATCCAGCCTGGCCTTGAATGCCTCCAGGGCATTCCTGTTCCAGTGTGTCACCACCCTCTGAGTGAAAAACTTCCTCCTCATATCTAACCTAAACCTCTCAAAGCAAAAGCACATACTTTTTACAATTGGAAGCAGCTTGCAGGGGATGGATTCTTTTTTTTTTTTTTTTTTTCTTTTCTTTTTTTCAGATCTTGGGGCGCATTCCTACCCTCTTAAGCACACACAAACCCTAATGCTTCAGGTCTAGGCAGTGCACACAGTGGCCTATGGGGCAATGCTTCCCAAACCAGTCAGCACAGTGACAGCACACACACATCCTTTTGTCATTCTCAAGATGGGTGAACCAGTAACCTTGAGCAAGAAGGTTAAATTTCTGAATTTATCTATTTACTCCATCCCAAGAACCAAAGCAGAAGGTCACACACCGTTCATCTGATCCTCCTGTCTTATGCCTCGTAAGTTGAGTACAGCAGCAGTACAAAATAGCCACTTCTTTTGTTTACACCTTCTCAGGCCTAAGAGGTTCAGTAAATCCAATCCTTAGCTGTTTGGAATTTACAACTTTTGTTACCAACATCATGATTTATCCTGGGAGATGGCCACCTGCTTTTCTTAGGATCAGGCAACACACATGTAAACAAAACAAGCTTTTGTTTTCTACAGTGCAACAGATCCACACACACTGAACATTCACTCATTTGCTTCTTTTTTATCCCAGCTTCTTCCCGTTGAACTTCTGCTTAGCTTGTACCTCAGTCCTGAGCTTCAGCAATGTATCAGCACCCTGAAGTATTCCTGCCTACACATCAAGCTTCTCAGTTACATGGAAAACTACACTACTGAAATAGGCAGCTTCCCATCTCCACAGTATTGAAAGAAAAAAAGCAATCACGAGTTTCACAGCCAAGGAATTCTTAGTACATCATTTGGCAGAAATGACACACACGGTTCACTACTAAACATCCCAATAGATGGTTTTGTACACACAGATCTGAACTTGCAGGTGACCACCTAACTGACTGCTCACTTCCCTTCTCCTTCTGCGCCGTTTCTTCCCGCTCTTGAGCCTGTTGAGGCCAAGCCTCTTTGTTGCCTTCAAGCTTTCGGGAGTGCTTGATGAAGCTGTTACAAATGAACTTCTAAACGAATTCATAACCAGCACTGGAGTAAAAACCCAGGCTTCTAGCTGTTCTGTGACACCCTAGCTTGGAGGCAGTAGTCCTGTGCAGCAGCACAACGTGCCTGCTTACACAAGGCAGCTCAAAGGGAGCTGCACTCATCTCATGCAAAAACCAGGCAGCAATACCTGGGCTTTGTGCTATCACGCCATCTATCTCAGCACCGTAAAGTACATGACCTTCCTGAGCTGCAAGTACCTGGGGCCCTTTTTCTAATCCTCTTGGCCTCTATTACATAAGAGCATGTGCTGTGCGCTTACCCTCCACCCTTGAGCATGGCAACACTTCTACATGCTCATACATGCAGGGTGTCAGTACATTCCCACAAGTCTCCATCTCATTGCCATGCTTAGGTGCCTCAGGCTGGTACAAATGAGGAGGGGGAAAACAGGCTTGTGTAGATCTGAAGGGGACTGTGGGAAGGATAGGAAATTGTTGGGTTTTTTTGGCTGTGGATCTCATCTAGTCTCTGTGAATTGCTTCAGACGTATAGGAACTTGTTAGCACAAAAATTATAGGATTTACTTAGAGCTGAAATGAGAAATTTATTGAAGCATTAGGAAACACTTGAAAAACAAGAATGCATTTATTAAGCCTTAAATTTCACTGAACTTTGAAGGTAATTTTTTTCATTAAAGATGCTCAGGGCAACTTCAGAAACGTCTGCAAAATCATTCAACTTGAGGATGAAGAAAGCAGCTTTGTTTGTTGACACAGGCATGCAAGAGGCAAAGTGACAAAGAGAAAGAACAGAACAGCCCCAGCTGTCAAGCCCACGGACAGCATACAGCATGGGAAAGGTCACTAAAACGTGCTGTAAATCCACTGCAGCATTGCCAGGCCATCTCACCCTGCTGAAGCTCAGGCACAAAAACCTTGCCTCCAGGGCCAGCTGATACTTCAACAGCCTCCTGGATGACACCAGAACTCATTTGTTCCCGTGCAATCTCTTCTTCCCTCCATCCCTGCTTTGCCTTCATCCAAACACAGAAGAAGTCTGGAAAAAGACAAATCTCAAGCCACGCTATATGTGCAACCAGGATAAGGAAATTGGGTATTAATTTTTTTCTTTCATTTTAGCTCCATCATGAATGTACCAAAACCAGTCCAAAGTCAGCCACCCTTGTTTCAGAAGACCTATGATAAAGGTGGCCCAGGGCTCATGGCTCACAGCATTACCACAACTGGGAGGGCAAAGCCAGGTCCCCATCAGTGAAATGCATGTCAAGTCAAGGCCAACAGCCCCTCACTCCCATGAGCACGAAGTGTACTTAATACTTTTAAATCATCTGATTAATCAGATAGAAAAATCTGTTGCATGGCTGCGTAGTCTTCAGCTCTAATTTCACATTCCGTGGTAATTAAATGTGAAACTCCTTTTATCATTTACTACAACCCACACTTAACACTTTGCCTTAAAACACTAAGACTCGAATTTCAGCCAACCCCTCATAAAAAAACAGCAACTCTGCCAAATTCCCATCCACGCTCTTTGATAGCAAAGTAACAGAGGTACCATAATTCATTCAATATCATTCTTTTCCTGCTAATGTTTTATTCAGACAGAGCTTCATTAATAAAGATGAAACTTTGGGCTCATGATTGCTCCATGTTCACAAAACATTCAGACTCCTTTACATCGTGGTTAAGCATGAAGAATTACTGAGCACAATTTCCTAAAAGAAATCCCACATACCAAAATTGCATATTTTGAATTTTTAAAATTCACTGAACCAAATTTCACAGAGTGAATCCTAAAGTCTGTTTGCCAGGAAAGCACAAGCCAAAAATGGAAGTCGGGGTCTTCTGGGATAACAAAGAAGCTGGACCCCAACGCACATATTCTTCCCACTAAACAAGCCATTAAATACACATTCACAGAGTAATTTGTTCTAAAAAATGCATTTGTAATTTCCCACAACCACTTTCGGTATAATTTTTGGCCGCTCAGACAGCACTGGAGTCACAGTTAAGTCTCTTTTTTGTTTGGTGGAATTCAGCAGTGACTTTGACTTCTTACTGGACAGCAGGCAACAAAAATTAGCCCAGAACTCAATGATTTTCACACAAGTCCAAATGTCTCCCACAGAAAAAAACATACAAAGACAAGAATGCTTTTTTAAAAACCAAAAAAGAACAAAACTGATCCAAACTCTGGTTATAGCAGTACTGTTCAATGCCAGGAACTGGACCGTGGAACGCGGGATGACTACTGACATACTTGAGAAGCATTTTTAACCCTGCACATGACAACAAACTATTCAGTTCTCTTCTTATAAGTCAGCAGATACGTGAGGTGATCCGACACGACGTGGCAGCTGCAACTTTAAAATGAGAGTCACAGTCTAAAGCCAGAACAAAAACATCTCTTGAATTTCTGTTAAAAAGAAGGAATTAACGTACACACCGCACACGCAGACAAAAATCTTGAGGTTTCCCTTATTGCTCTTACACAAGGCTGTAAGCAGGTAAATGGCTGGAGCAGAAAATAGGTCAAACATGCATTTCAGCAGGCATAAAAGTACAGGAAATTCATACTAACAAAACAATGCACTGCATTACGTAACACGTTATGGTATTCTGCTAATACAGTATGTCATCAACACCAGATAAACTCCATTTCTGCCTGTTGTATAATGTGTTATGTAGTGTGGCATTTTAACCTAATTTCTGGTTGCTCCTTCATACCGCACTCTCCATGTGGGGATGAAGAGGGGCAGTTTTCAAGACAACTTCTGTGCAGTGCAGAGAAACCTTGGCCTCAAGAGCTCCAAGGGCAGCACAAGGTTAGGGTTAGTGCTGTTATCTCCTGCTCTCTGACTGCTTCGTGTCTTTATGCAGTCATGAAAATCTTGGATATGCAGAAGTTGATGCCAAATGCTTCCATGCTGTTCTCAGAGCACCTCCCAGCTACGCTATGTACTCCTGGTATAAGCATGAACTGCTACAGGGGATAAGGCAGTAGAGGCCTGAGTCCTGTATTTAGTCACTTCTCTATGAGTCTATAAAGGCAAGAGTTTTTGGTGAACTGGCTTTTGTTTACACAATAAGCAGTAGAGTGTGGATGTTACCAGAAACCTGGCTGATTACTGGGAACAAGTGATTAACACGTTCACAGACACATTTTAGAATTCCTGTCATTCTTTACTGCAAAGAAATCAAATGTGCTGCTGAGCGATGTTGATGCATTACAATTCTCATAAGTTCAAGGCATACATCACCTTGCACAAAAAAAAAAGGCATTGCATTTGTTATCTGAGGATAATGTTGTTTTTTTTCTGTGCTATGAATATATATGACTGTTCCTCTCCAAACGTGACCATACGTATACCACAACAATTAAGCACCATATGTTTATGCTATCCTGCAGTTAACAGAAATTAAGGAAGAAAATGGTGGTGTGGGAAAGAGGAGGGAAAGAAATCCAGCACTAAGTCAGAGGTATGTTCTTGAAATTTCTAGTTAAGAATGTTTACTGTGAACCAGAAACAAAATCAGAAAACCACCACCATCTACAAGGCCAACCTTGGCACTGTACAGTCAAAATTATGTTCTCTGTTGTTATAATACAACCTTGAACAATCTCTAACTAATTACTAGAGAGAGCACAGGGTGGACAAGTCGCTCTTCGGGGAGATTACACGTAGGCAACTGCTCATACTTTGTACTTGCAGAAAGAACCAGTGCTGATCAATAGAATTTTCTGTCTTAGTAAAGGCCTGCTATGTATCTCTCCATCTGATCCTTAAATCTCACAGATTTCAGCATTCACACTTAGCAACTCACACAGAGCTCCATATAAGCTACAAACAGTACTAAATCTAGTGGAGCAAGGCGCTGCTGAAATGCAGGTTCAGGAATTTGGCTCAATCTAAATAGAGAACTGCAAATAACTGGGAAATTAGGACATTCATAGGTGGATAGGGATATTTCCTGTGCTTTTTCTTCATATCTGTCATAACAAAGACCAACATTCATATGAAGTGTGGCAGAAGGTCTACATCATGCTCACCTATGCATTTTAACACCTGGACAGCCACACTGATTAATGAGGGACAGCACAACCCAGAAGAGGGTTCGGCTGACCTGTATTCTTCTTCCAGCTCTGTCATTGCCTCTTATACAAAAGCATAAAGATTGCACAGAAAGGTCCATGGTCTGTTGGCATGGTGAGGCTTCCTTACAGCAACTTCTTTCTCATACCACCCATGGGTGTGCAGCTGTATCTCCTGTGAGATAGGGAGGCAAAATAGGTGTATATTTCTCTAAAAAAAAAAAAAAAGAAAAAAAAAGAAAACCCAACCTCCAGAAAAAGAAAAGGAAGAACAGATTGCTGTCACGTCCTTGCAGGAAGGAGTCCTAGGACTTCTCATGACCCACTTCTTCACTAATAGCCATGAAGGCCAAGTCTGCAGGAAGCCCACTTGCCAGATCAGAGGTAAAACAGTATGACTAATGTTCACCATTCAGAGCCATTCTTCATGTGAAGTGGGTTAGGCAGAAATGTTTGGCTGCATTGTTAAGTATTCCTCCTAGGCTCACTTTGCTTCCCTGCTCAGAATCTCCTTCAAATAGAAGATTCTTAAGTGTCACTTCCCCATAGCCGAAAACAGTGGGGAAAATCAGACACAGGCAAAAAACCACATACCACAGAACCAAACAATTGCTTGTAAAATGTTTCCTTTTAAAAACTATTGTACAACCTCCTAACTTAGTTTAATTAATGTGCAGCTTAAAACATAGAAAATGTCTTACCAACTAAATGATTTCTGTTTTACAAGTCTCCCCTTCCCCCCAGTTAAAAAATAACACGTGTGGGTTGGTATCGAACACTTTTCACTGAGTCACAGGCCAGTTCTCCTTCAATTCTACATGGAGCAGTTCTGATTTTGAGCTACCGCGGTTAGAGAAGAGCTCATACTGCATACTTTACAGTACAACCAGCTACACAGATGTCTTTAATCTCATAACACAATAAAAACTGCCATAAATTACAGTCCCCTTGATAAATGATTATGGTGACGCATGCAGTCCTTCTCATTGCCGTTCCCATCAGACACTGGACATAGGTTTCTCCACTGGTGCCGAGGGCTGTGGCCAGGCTGGTGCACCACCATCTGGGAACAAAGTGTCCTGCAGTCATCAGCCAAAGTTTCGGTGAATTGTCTCACTCGATACCACCACCACCACCAACCCAACCCCTGGGTGAGCAACCCCGGGGCAGCCCCACACCCCTCAGCCGCATGAGATCACCGTGAAGCGCTTGGAAATGCATGACATGTTGTGGAGGACGATGCCCAGGAGAAAGACCAAGACACAGGCCACCAGGATCACAGTGCAAACCCCCGACCAGGTGGAGCTTTTCACCACGCCTCTGCGGTCAGGCTCCTCTGCACCTGCCTCAGCAGGAAGGCCACCCTGCAGCGGCTGCTGCTCGGCCGGGATCGTCACCACCGCCAGGGACTTCTGCTGGCTGCCAGGCAGGAGGCGACAGCCGACGTCTCCCGGCAGCATAGCCCTCTCCTTGGAGAGGGGCAGGGGCAGCATGTAGCACCCGTTGCTGGGGAGTTTGATGAAGACAGGGGTGTGCTCAGAGGTGTGGGGGATGGCGATGACGGCGATCACCTCGGGGTCATCAGGCAGCTGTGACACAGAGTAGCCCGGCGGCAGCTTGGTGATGCCACGGCACCAGGGACACCGCAGGTCCTTCTGGCTGGTCCTCATCTGCTGCAAGCACACCGAGCAGCACGTGTGCTTGCAGTCCAGCAGCTTGGGCCGCCTGCGCGGGCTGTAGTAGTTGAAGCAAATCTGGCACTCCAGCAGGGAGTCCTGGGACAGCGTCTCCATGGTGGCTGGCACGGCGCAGCGAGGCACTGCCAGCTTGGTAGGGGTCCGGACACAGTGTCCCACAGACACCTTCAACTGCTTCTTCTCAAGAAGGCTGGGAAAAGCGCAGGGAAACCTCCAGCCCTTCAGCACCTGAGGCAAACAGAAACGTGAATAAGTTGGTTACTGACAGGAACGTGAGGAAACACAAGCCTAGCTACAGGTGAATTTGTAAGGTGGCAAGAGAAACAAATCTGCAACTCTTAACAAGCAACTATTATTTTGTCAGCTTTACCAAACCAGTCGTGATAGCCAGCATTCACCCTTTTCTTGCAGATATAAAATCACTATCAACCCTTCAGACTTCTACTCATATTTATTCCCTTGAAAGGAGAGGCACGAAGCAGGTCCTTCAGCATCCTCCTCATATTTTCAGAACTTTCTTTCAGCCCTTTCTGCACCATAACAATTCTTCTCATTTTGCCCTCTAAAACCATGATGACTTTTAGCCATTTGGTTCAACCACTAAGTCTGTATGCAAGGTAGAAGGAAAAATATGTTTAAACAGATGCATTTCCACAGGCTTCAAACACATCCATGAATGAGCAACCACCTAACTACATTGAAACACCCACGCTTGTGCGCAACAGAAAGGAATGGCGAGTTCTTCAGTTAAATTAACTGTGGGCTAGGTTAGACGAACAGCTTGTGAAATAAACCTCATCCCTGACAAAGGCATCCCCTGAGGTGAAAGGCTCTGCTGAGAACCCAGGACTGCAGCACAGCATGAAGAATGCACAGCACTGAAAGCAAGCTGCTGCTGACCTTGTTCTTAGCTAGTCATTAAAAAAGGATTCCTTGCACTTCCCACTTATACCTTACAGCTAAGCAAAAAGAGCCAGCTGTATTTACTTCCACAGCAAGTTGTTTAGCCTTGTTTGATTTCAGCCTCTCCAACGCATGTAAATATGAAGGAGAGATATTTTTTACAACTTTTTGCTCTGCCTTCCTCACTCTGTTTGAAGATGTATCAGATCAAATTTGCATCTAGATAATACAAGAAAACAAATCCAAAATATCTATGTGGGGACCTTGATTGTCTCTTATCACAACGTTATATGCAAAAGAGTTAACACCATGGCTGTTGCATGATTTTTTCCCTTCCACAGTATTATTTCTTTTTCTTTCCTCCAGGTCATAGCAACTGGGGTGCAACACACTGATCAATAGGTGACACCAGCAGAACAGAAATAACGTCATTCAAGACAAACCAGGCATAAACACGGGGTTTGCAATGCAGGGTAGGCCTCTGGACTACAATGTCCCACATCCTGCCAATATTTGAGCTGGGAAAACAAAATACGTGTCATCTCTTCAGATGCTAATGACTTGTCACTGGCTGGCAGCACTGGCCCTGCCGCCGATTTTGTAACAGCAGTAGATTTTGGCTCACAAAATGCTTCAACAAACATGCAGTGACTCAGGAGACAGAAGGGGCTGAGGTTATGAAAGCTGGAGCTTGTGAGAAAAGCCACGTTCCAGCTGTGGGAATGAGCATTTTGGGATGCTTTGCCTAAGACCCTGATCAGTGTGAAGCCTGTGCAGGGACTGGGACAAGATGCCCAAGCACCAGGTGTACACTGCACAAGGCTTTAAAAGATACCCCACATGCAGAAGGAACCACACACTGCCATGGAAGGGGCTCTGCATTCACAGCTCACGTGCAGGCTGTAACCAAGGGAAAGGAGCAGAAAAAGAGGAAAGGACCGATCTTTTGCATCACTATCTCCACATCCCTAAGGCAAAGGCAGGCACAAGGAAGACTGAAAGAAAGGATCTTCAAAAGACTGGTATGTACATGAACAAGAAAAATGGAAGAGTGAAGCTCCTCCTAGCTGAAAAAGAGTGAGAGGGAAAGGCCAGATTAGAAACAAGTTAACAGGAACTCAAGTCACCAGACCCAGTTTCCAATCAACCATATGTGATCCAGCAATTTTATACAAATTCTTCACAGTCATGCACTCTCTCTGGCAAATGAGCTCAGACATTAAAAGATGCAACTCTAATGTCCTAGGGATAGCCCTAGGTATATGCAAAACTGTTTAAAAAACTTTATAATAATACTGCAATACTATTATGAGAGGTAGAATATTATTATGAGACCACTGAAATTCTCTGATCCCATTTAATTATCACCTGTAACAACTTCTCTCCAGTTACAGCGCTCAAGTAAAATAGTTTCTATTGATCTTCAAGCAATTGAGATCGTGCTCATTTTTTTCTGACTTCCTAACCTTGTACAGGAGTTATACATTCATATGCTATCGAGCCCTCCATCCCTGTTGCAGTTACATTCTTAAGGCAGAAGATCAGTGCCAGGAGAGAAAGAAGTAAGATATTCAGAACTGAAAAACGAAATAAAAGTCACCTCCAAGCAAAGAGTGTTCAAGAAAAACAAAAACATCCATTCCAGCAAAAAGACCTGGTCTGAATGCTAAGTAATGGTGTGAGGCACTTATCCAAGAGATCCAAGTTACAAAGCACTGATGGTACTTAAGGGAACGAAAAGAGAAAAAGCAAACAAACAAAGAGTGGAGTCAAATTGAAAGGGTGTGATGGGACCTAGGACCTGCGTGATGTTTGGGCTCAACGATCCTTGCAGGTCTCTTCTAGCTCGGGATATTCTATGATTCTTCAGTATACCTGCAGAACACACTGTGACCATGACAGCCCCATTTTGATCTGGTGTTAAATCTAAGAAACAGTCACTTCCAACCATATCTTAAAGTTACATGTTTAATCACAAACACTGTTGTGAAGAGCAAGGCTGCGTGATGCATATGCCTATTTCAAATCACAACGTTTCTTTCCCGCAATGCCTCAAGTAACAACCAGAGATATACTATGACTGATCATTGGTGACATCCTGTAAGCGAAGGCTAGTATGATTCCTTCAGAACATGTCTAAGGACAAGTTAAATGGCAGCCATCTAACAGCCATCTAACCCATCGGTCTTCACAGACGCTGATGAGGTTGCCTTTCCCACAGTTCACGTATTTAGTTTGGTGAGTGAAATGCAACTTCACTCCCAACCACACTGAAAGACATAGAAGAAAGTCAAGCCATCACCTATAGTAAGAATTAAAGCACACAGTACTATTTGTTTCATTCTACCGCATGCGGTTAGAAAGGAAAAAGCCACACCAACTCTCCTGGTACTTTTCTACCACTTTATTTCAATAGCTGAGCAAAGAGTTAATGCTGCAGTAATCTCCTGGATGGAAGGCTGAGCTGTTGGGTCTGTGATCAACAGCTCCGTGCTAGCTGGAGGTACTGAGCTATCACAAGTGAGCACCTTGCTCAGAGCTCACTCAGATGCTCTCCTTCTGGTGCTTCGAGCCCAAAAACCAAGAAGCAGCCAGGCTTTGTGTTTGTCACACAGTGGCAGCCACAGAGGCTGCTGGCAGGAGAACTGTGGGGAAAAAAAAATTAGAAAAGGCTCTGTGGGGCTTTAAGAGAGACAGTGTTGTGTATGGATACAGGCATGCATGTGCAAGGAAGGGCTGGGGAACACGACATTCACAGAAAAAGGTAAGTGCAACTGCAATTAGTAACTCCGCCTGGCATAAATCTGACAGCAACTGGAGCTCTTCAGTGCTGAGATCTACATAGCAATACAAACAAAAATTAACTGAGTATGAAAAATGCTCCAAAATTCAAGTATCAGACAGGTGCAGCAGCAGCAGAGGAAGTGAGAGGAGACAGACCTGCAAAGCAGCATCAGGAAAGCCCCCTGCCTACCCCTTCATCCTTACTGTGGCCGACTTCCAAAGGATTGCTGATGGCCACTGCAAGGAGAGATTAACACACAGCGATAGAGTCTGCTCTCAGGAGAAGAGAGCCAGGGAGGAACCTGAGAAAGTGATGAACTGCAGGTGGCTCAGAGCATGACACAGAGGCCCACCTTGCAGACTGGGGCTGCCCTCTGAGGAGTCTTAAAGATTTGAGAAAATACCTTGAAAGCAACACGGACACAAAGCTCTGGAGAATAAAACACGGCTCTCAGCTGTTTGTCATTCATGCCATCTGCTCTCCCAATACCTTGTCAAAGGCTGAGGCAGGGCCTCAAACTCTTTTTTTGGGTGATGCCAGGCATGCTGTAGCACTGGCGCCCTGCTTCCCAAGATATCAAAGGGGGAAAGGGCATTTACTGCAGCTCCCAGCTTCCCAACACAATGCAGAGAGGTGTTGCACAAGGCGTACAAAAGGTTTCTTCAGCTAATGCAACACAGCTACAGGGAGAGGAAAGAGAAAGCAAAGAGGTTTGATTAAAATTGGGTTTGCTGCAAAGAATGTTGGCACAAACACTAACTATAAAGCAAGCAGAAAAGGCAGTTATTTTTGGAAGCGGTGCAAAGATGGACATTAAACATCCACTGGATGTGAGATGGACAAGTTCATGAACACAACAATGACAAACCATTGCCTGTTAACACAGTATAAGGACAGCCCCAAGGACCATGCAATGAAAAGCACAGTCTTGAAGGGGTGCTGCCTCTACCAGAGAATGAAGAACTATCTTCACACATATTTCTAACTTATTAAGGCTCCAAATTATACCAGCATGAAAGCCATAAAAAGATATTTTAATAATGCCCATGGAATTTAATACAATTCAACGAAGGTTAAATATTGCATCATGCTGTTAAAGACTGGCTCCGGGGCACGCTGGTGTAGTTAGCTGATCACTGAAAGCCTCGAAAAGTTTGCACATACTTATGCATGTGTTTAGGCACGCTGTGCTTGCTGCATGGCAAGGTTACTAACAGACATCTAGCATGGCGCTGCGCTGATAAAACTTCACCTTTCTCAACGAAGGTTCATTACAAAAACTCCCCAAACTCATTAAGAATTCTGTGATGGTATTACTGTCCATGATTTATGACGAAGAAAGATTCACCGGGTTCAGGTGCCCTTAGGCTAGAAAGGAGAGGGAGGGGCAGCACAGAGGGGAACTAATTGTAAAAGCCCTCTGCCCACAGACATGGGAAGAAATGCCTGCTGCAGTCACTTAAAGCTGACAGTGAATAGGAAGAACATAATATCTGATTGCATTTCTGCTACAAACTCAGTATCTATTAATGTTTTCAGCAGATTTGTGTTTGGGACTGTTGCAAATACCTAGGACATACTATCTGATTTTCTCTGAATATCCTTCAACGATTCCATTTATTTTTAGGCTGTTCTGTAGCACTAATTACCATAGAAACCGAAACAGCACAAAGATTAATTAAATTATTCAGCACAACACCCTTGTTAAGAGAGAAGTATTATCATTATTACACCCTTTTATCATCTAAGAAAAGAAGTGCAGAGAGATGAAGTAGTTGGTCCAAGGTCATGCAAACACCACCCAGGTTGCCCCACTTCTCACCTCATGAGTCAGCAAGCAGGGGTGGAAGACTCTAGACAGATTATTTTTTTGCAACGCAGAAACAAGGCTCAGAAAATCGCCTGATTCCCCTAATTGCTCCTATGTGGCAGCATCTCCATGTCCTGTCCAAGATTTTCTGTTCATTGAACATACCAATTATTCCACAGACCATGCAAAATATGAAAGCCTGTGATCGAAAAGTTAAAGCATCTCCGCAGACATCATGCAAACTGCGACTGAGACAATGTCTGCATTTTGAGGAACACAAAGTTAACAATAAAACAACAAATTTAATTCAATTTTCTCTTGGGAATTAATAATTTGCCAGGCACCTTTCGCCTAAGATGGACAGCCTACACCCACTATCCTTTCCATTTTGTTATTCACAATGGTACAGAAATACTGCAGAGCAAAAGCATTTTAATTTGACCGAATCCTTAGCCAGCATATGCTGGCATTGATCCTTCAGCTTTACTCCAACCCTTGCCAAGAAGACAACTAGGCATACGTACTCTCGGATGCGTAGAGCCACAGAAAATAATGCTGAATGAAACTATGAAATATGAGCCTGCAACATCCTATGAACTTGTGCCAGGGGATCCATGCTGATGAAGAACCTGCTCTGAGTGATCTCAATAGCAAAGACTAAACAGGACAGCAGCTGGCCTCCCTCTCTGGCACTGAGCACTCAGAAGTGGATCACAGAGCCTGGCTGCAAGGTGTTAACGCATTGCATCTACTTCAGGAATTGCCATCAGCCAGCCCTTCCAACAGACAGCAGAGACATAAAGGCCCACCACGCTACTGTAACCAGTTGCAGAACTTTACATTTTTGGAGCAAAACCACATCAGCTGAAAACGGCAGTCTTTAGCGTTTTCATAGAAACAGAGACAGACTCACTTGCTGTACATTGCTCCATCTCACCTCAAAAGCTCTGCTGCTCCCTCCTTTTATCTGCAAACTTTGACATGTCCACATTCCCCAGCTCCAAAGACTTCATTTTGGTCAAATATGATCAGTATAAGCTGCACTTTGTTCCAACAGCAAACACTACTAATCACCCATAATGTGCCTGGTCAGCAAATGATGAGTACAGTTTTTCACTGCTGAGTCAAAACAGTACAGCCACGCTCAGCAGAAAGTTTCATGCAGTGTTTTACCAGAGGAAAGGCTATCTGAAATCAAAATATTCCTGATAAATGTGCCTATTTCAGGCACATTTCTTCTGCCTTCCCAGCCCTTCAGTAGCCCTCCTTGCAGTTGAACGTGGAGACCAGACCATAGAGTCTGACATGCTCCTCACCAACTCAGAGCTTCCAGGTTAGCAGCTTTTACAAGGTGACAAGCCAAGTTGCTCCAGAGCCATAGGTCCCTGAAACTCCCAGCTCCCAGCCTAGAAGAGCACAAGAGATCCCTGCATGCACAACTGCCCGGCCAGAAAGAGTCTCGTGAGGTATTCCTCCTCATTTCTGCTGTCTGGAAGTTCTCTTCCTGCATGAGGAGTGCATTGGCAGGATGAGACCCGACCCTGGTCATGAAACATTCCAAATCTGGAAATTCTCCTGCAGAGGATATAAAGCGTTCCCTCTCAACATGAAAATGAACAAAAACTCCAGGGTTCAAAGCATCTCAAGTGGCAGTGCTCATTTTTGCAGTTCATTCTCACTGTAACTCTGGCAGGGCCATTAGCACTTCATCAGTTTTCTTGGCTGCTCTTAATTATGCCTGACACACTGGTAAACCCTAAGGTGAGAGGAATTAAAAGCCAGGTTTCTCCACCACCAGGTGACAAATCCATTTGCCACTCAAGCTGACATAAAGAGGAATGGGGGCGGAGGCCCAGCAGAAAAGCAATCTTCTCCTCATTCCCTAACTAAAAGCCACATGGTTAGTCATCGATGGCCAGGACACATGGAACAGATGGTTGGCAAGGGCAGATTTAAAGTATCTTCCCTAATTTAAAGTGATGTCACAAATTAAGCCACAAAGGCCAAATTCCAGAACCTCACAGCTATATGCAAGCAAAGAGCAAAGCTTGCTCTGTGGATATTAAACTTGTTCTAAGTAACTCGCAGTGCAGCATCTTTCCAAAAAAGATTTTCATTTATGGCTATGTGATGAGATTCTGTGGTACTCAAAATGTAGAGGGAGAGAGATCACAAAGCAACTGATCGCTTAAAATGACAAATTTGTTCTGCCATTACAGCTTTATGCTTCATCTGCCATTGATAGAATTTGCCTGATACCTGAAGAGAAACTTAATTAAAACATTCTTCCATCCCTCCCTCCCCTGAGAATCTATTACAAAATACTACCATCCAAAAAAAAAAAAAAAAAAAAATTAAATAAAACTCAAATGCTTCTCACTGATACAGGTCAGCGGGCGCTCGACTGGAAATCAGCTTGAAGTAGTGTATTAAGGCAGTCGACTATTAGAGAAGTGAATGGAGCAGCTCTCCAAGTAATTTTTGGTAAAATCAGGTCAAAATCTGCCTGCATATTGGCTCAAACAGAGGAAGACAGAAAGGAATCAATATTCGCATTTCACATGCTGTTTATATAGTGTGAAAACTATAAACCCCGTTTCACGCTTACCTCAAGCAACTCTGCTCTGTGTTTCTGTCTCATACACAGGACCCACAAAGTGTGACTTCCTGAGGAAGCGATGCTCAGACCCACACTGCTCAGTAGCCCCAGCCACGGCACTGCTCCCCAGGGCTGGGCTGGACTGTGTTTTGTGAGGGTGTGGGTAGGGGAGGTTTCTTCCTTTGCTTCAGCAAATAACAGAAAAAAAGCAAGAGATCTAAGGGAATCAAAACAATACACCCTTTTACACTGAAAAGGATGGGATTAAGCAATTGGAAAACATCGCATTAAAAGCCTCATAATAATAAAGAAGTTCTTTTCTGTCCTGCAGACCCCAAAGAAAGAGAAAGGTTTAAGGGAGACAGCACTGAGAGGGGAGCTTTATACCTTTTTACCTTTCTCCTGAAATTTACAGAGCAAGGGAGTAAAGTCCCCTGTTTATCAAGAGAAAAGGTGCAGCAGATGTCATAACACAGAAGAATGACTTCCAAGAGCTTATCTTCAGAAGAGAGCAGCCGATAACCAGCTAGCATGGCTCCTCAAGGTCACCCACAAAATGCCATTTCCTAATGCAGACAAATTGTGATCTTCATGCATTCACAGCCTCTGATAAGTGCTACAACTATCCCAGGTCACGGCACTGGTCATTCTAGTTTGCAGACTACACCAAAAGGAACTGGAACCAATCCAAAAGCTTATTGGAAACTAATCATTCACCCCGTAGCACTCCTGGCAGCTAATAATATTAATACCACATTCACTGCCTGAGTTTTGGGAACAGTCCAACACTCACTGCAAATGCAGATCACAAGCAGAGGTAGGCCAAGCCCAAGCAGCATACATATTCATGGCTTCCTATTTCTAGGTGATCTGCTTTCCTTGTATATATCAGGACTTTACAAGAGTAAAATCCTCCCTAAAAGATCTGGCATGCTAAAGAGAATAAAAAACTTTTTCCAACGGTTTCCCAACTGCATGTTCTACCTGTAAGTACAAACACTCCACGAGGTCTGGAGCAGCCAAGTAATGAAGTGAATGATCTGACATTAGCCACTGAAGTTAATGGGATGACAAACGCTCTTGAGGTCAGTCGTACATTTACATATTTACCACGCTATCCATCAGCATAAGTAATACAGAGAACTGGTGTCAGCAGCCACAGGCAGATCACTAAATCTCTAAGTGGCAGAAGCCTTCACTCCTCCTTTACCACCCTGAAAATGGGCAACCTGGCAAAACACAACCCAATCTTCCGAGAACAGCTGCAACTAACCTGACTGGTTGCATGTAAAGATCCAAAGCCCTGGTCCCATCAGGGAAAATTTCTGACTATAAGGGAGGAAACAAACCAATGCCAGGAAGGATTCCTGGATCTCCTGTTCATGCCAGTAGACATGGGCATGGCTGTGGGAAAAAGATGATTTCCGTGAATGGTCTTCTAGGATGAAGACTAGAATAAGGTGAGAGAATCTGGACTGCCTCATGTGAACCAGCACAGTTTGCAAGATGAGTCACCTTGCAGCTAAGCACTAAGGTACCCTAGAGGCCAACAACGATAACTCAGGCAGCAACTGGGCCTGCACTGGCATGTCACACAACCCTCTCAGGTGGGCCGAGATAAATTACAGCTCCCCAGAGACTGAGCACAAAGCTGCAGAGCTGCCAGCCTCTCTGCTCTGACAGTTTTGCCATAATGGAGACTGGCCATCAGCCACTCAAATGCTCAGGCACGGGAAAATAAGCTCCTGTTGCTCATGTTACTCAAAATCTTTGCTTTCTTTCACAGAGATGGTAGGTATTCAATCCTAACAGCCACTCACCTTCTGTAGCTGTGAGGAGTTTATCAGACCTGCCAAGCTCTGTCAGGTTGTATTTCATTCTTTACAGCGAGTTTCAAAGTTCGGGCTAGACATCACCCATCATACTTCTGCCAGTCAAAGTCTGGCTGCTTTAGAAACACCCTGGTGTGAAAAACACTCCACTTGGCAGCACTTATCTAACAGTATACAGCATTCACTGCATGAAGGAGTGCAGATGCTGAGAAAGGACGGTGTTACGCTACCTTAGAACAAAAAATCAAAATGAAGCAAACTGCTTTGCTGCTTAATCTAGGGCCTAATTCTGCAGAATTATCTTTGAGAACAAGCAGAACAAGCTTTGAGAAGATAATGAGCACAATATTGCTAATGCTCAAGACTTCATCACAATCCCGATTGTACAGAGCAACACCGAGTCCCTTAGGCTCATGATTATCAACAATCAGCTCAGTATTCAGCGAAAAGCTTGAAAACATCAACTTCAGAAGCCTCAGACTCTGATTAGCCAGAACACCCAGAACTTCAGTCTCTATCTTGCAAACCAGTCTCGTGATTCCCTGGGACTCAGACTCTGAGTTACAGCTAACTAAAAAATGCAGTTTCAAATTAAACAAATTCATCGGTGGTTTCAGATCAAATTAAGCAAATACTTTCTCCCTGGGCAAAAACAGTAATTTCCATTAAAATGTCAACTCATTTTAGCTTTCATTTCAGTTTGACTGTTTTCCTTCATAGGAAAAAAAATTTACCTAGGTAAAGCAAAGGGCAAACAAAGCTTTTTGCACCGACTCTGGAATAACATTTTCTTGCTGTTGTCAGAGACTGAATGAGACAGAAGTACCATTTACTCTCACCACCCCACTGCTGAATGCAAATGTCTAAGTCAGACAATACACCATGTTTTCTTTTTCCTTCACAGCCTAGGGAATGCTAATGATAAATACACCCAACTATTAAGCAGTAGTTTCATAGCTGCACATTTGCAAAGAATCATTCATTCTGGCTCTAAAATAAAAAACCACAACATGGGGCATTTTAATCATGTAAGTCACATTCCCTGATGTGATTAAAGCCTGAAGACTTCACTGTTTGATGGGATTACTGGTTTTAGAGGTGTTTCTTATAGAAGAGCTAAAGGATCTTGATTTGGAAAGGCAGGTAGTTCAGAGTCACACTCATCCCACAAGTCTCAAAAACACATCCCAAAAAGTCATTAACAGCTTATGAACACATATCAGAGAAGCTTCACCACATACATCCAACACATATTACACGTAGCATCACACAGTACAGCACTTCCAGCCAAAAAGGTGCCACTTAGACTGCTGGAAGAAAGGAGGAAAGGCCAAAAGCCTGTTTCATCACACTGTGAAGTGCAGCACTGGAGATGTGAAACAGAATTGGAGATATCTACACAGAATTAAAGTTAATTCCATTCAGTTCAGATCTTAATTCTATTTTGTTAAAATAATTCCTGCGTGCCTTACAGTGGTTATGAAGCACTGGAAATATCAATGCCTACAGCCAAAGCAATGCCACAGGAACCATGCGACTTACACCAGTTGAAGTGTAAGACTGAAAATCAATGTGACAAAGCAGATGCGAGACATCTCTCTTCTCTATTATGGAATCAAGTCACATTTAGGATGAAAAATACTTTACTCTGGACCCAGGTTTGCGCTGCGCCACAAAGTACAACATCCCTTGCTTTCTAGCCAAAAGAATTTCCAATTTATTTAGTTCACTGACATCACTGTTACTTTTTACAGTTGGGTCAGCACTGTCCTAACTTTTGCTTAAGTAACTTCATTCGTCAAGTGCCTTCATTCTAATGATTACTCCTTTAGAAATCAAACACATGCTCTTTTTTGTGTCTCGTGTTTTGCCAAAAAGCAGCATCTACTGGGAAAATCATTCTCTGAACTTTAAACCACTCCTTCATACAGTGTTCTGTATTTTTTTATGCAGTGGAACTTGTGCTGGGTTCTTTCACACTGAGTTTGCAGAGCACCTGTCAGGGTGAAGTCCTTGCCAATATATTGGGTACTTAAGTGCTATGACAATTAAAAACAAACAACGTAGGCATCAATACAAATAGTTAATGCTGTTATTATTACTAACACCCCCGAGCTTTGGTGTGAGCTCTAATCTCCTAGAGCAGCTGCTTCTTGAAAACAGAGCTAAACAGAGCAACAGCCAGCAGATGGCACTCCAGAATACACAGCACGGAGAAGCAAGGCTTGCAGGACGAAGCAAGCCCGTTCAAATCAGCTGTGCCACCGGCTTCAAGTTTGGTTTGGATTAAAGACCATCTCCCTTTCTCGCTCCCAAAGAGCAGAGACTAATAAATGCCTCCAGCCCCACCTTTGAAAACCATGACTGCGCTGTATAAGAGGAATCATGTCTGAAAGCACAGTGCACAGCACATCCTAAGTGCCGGGCTCATGGCTTGCTCCATAAAGGGGAAAGCTCCCTTTGGGCAGGCTGAGACATTTACCAATGCTGTGTATGGAGAACTGGCAGCCTTTTTCTGTGTCCTACTGCTCTCCTGAACTCCTTCAAACAAGCTGAAATAATGCTGTCTTTTACTGCTTTAAAACAGCAACAATAAACAACACACCCTAATGATTAAGAGACCATTTTCCCTCCTGTTTATTTTTAGCTTCCCCTACACATACAAAAACATCCACAGCCTTGCCTGCACGGCTATGAAGCATCTCTACAGATGGCTCCTGGCGGCACAGCGTTGATTCCCAGCCTCCTCAGAGCCCTCTGCCTCACCCCATCGCTCACACTCCTCCTGCAGCAAATTCAGTCAAACTGACACTTCTTCCAATTAAATGCTGACTGGCAGGAAAGCCTCTGTCTAGTATCCTCATCAGCCAGAAGAAATAAATCCAACTCAAAGAGCTCTGGCTCACCCAGTCTTTGAGGATCTCATGTAACCGTAAGAGCAATTAGTTTGTTTTTCTCCTGGTTGAAAAACTCCCAATCAGTCTGTCTTAAAAACAAGACCCTTTAAAACACCATGCAACCAGGGAAGGACAGGAGGACATGGTACCTTTTAACCCAGGAAGATTGTGCTTTCCTTTTAGAAACTGAAATTTTAAAGCTAGTTGTTTTGTCTAACTCCAGGTATCAAGCACAGCAGTTCACTTTAAGAGACCTAATGAAATGACTCAGCTGACAAAGATACCATTTCTACACCATCCTCCCCTGAAAAAGTTTAGAGTCAAAACATTAAAGTCATACAACTGGGTGGGAAAAAAAGGCTGTGTTTTATCAGAAGTCCTCGTGAATTATCTAAAAACTACACCAATACTGAAGATATTCATCCCTCATGCAAAAAAAAAAAAAAAAAGCAGATATTCTTACCACTTACACTTTCCTTAAACGCAAATCTGCACCATGGGATCCTTTCTGTTTATGCAGAAGTAGGAGAAAAGTCTGTCAGAAAGTAATTACTTTTCCTCTCCTGTATTTGTCAGTGGATCTCTGGCACCTTCCCCCACAAATTGACCCCAGATATACACAGACACAAAACTTTTGAACTTTAAGGTCATCTCCGTGGGTATGAGCAATGCATAAACCAAACAAAATCA